CAAAAATATAATAAATGCAGGAATATTTGCCAGAGAGAGAGAGAGAGAGAGAGAGAGAGAGAGAGAGAGAATGACAATGACCAGGTAGACTCAAAACAACACCCTCCTGGAAACGCAAACATTCCGAAATTAATAGTGAACATTGGGTCAGCGCTTCTTGGGAGCAAACGAAGCCTATCTAAAGAGAAAATCAGTGACCTGTCTACAGCTAATGACCCACATGGAATTCAGAATACAGAGAAAATGAAAAATACCAAGGAAATCTTTAGAGAGAAGTAGGACAACGGTGGAGACACAACATTTACCCAATTTCGGGGATAGAAGAGAGAGAGCGAGGACCCTGGTGCAGCTGCGCCCCGGGGGGTCACCGGCGCTCTGTGCTCACGCGAAGGGGCTCCTGTCGGGCCGGCAGTCATTACAGTGGGCGCTGCCACCCGCCGCGGGTGAAGACCTCGGGAGCCTTCAAGTCCAGGCTGCAGGCCCCGCACGGCACCACGCAGAGGCGGCCATCTGCTTTTCAAAGGCCTGGCATGGAATTCAGGAATCAGCTGTGCAGACTTTGCCAAAGGAAAACTTTGAAAACTCGATTCTGTTCATTTACAGGATTTCAATATTTCCTAGCACCGAAGTGGGACAAACACTGACGTCTCTGTGGTTTAACACATATTAAATCACTATTTTTGTAAATCATAAAATAGATTTGTTCGTGATTTCTGTGACTTCACTGTTCTCTTTCTCTCAAAGGGATCTCCTAGCAGAGCTTTGCCCGGCACCGTCACCCCTGGTGCCCCAATCCACACAAACAAGTGCTGAATGGGCCGGCATCCCCCCAGTGGTAGAGGGGACCCCAAATCTACCGCCCCCAGACAAGTCTTTGGAAGAGGTAGATTTCATGCGAGGGGCTCTGCAGGGTCGGACGGGGCCTGGACACAGGCCGCAGAAACTTCTCCAAGGCCAGGACCTGCGAGGCATCTGCTGTCTCTGCTCCGTGGAGAAGGCAGGATTTAAATCTGCGCGCAGGGGCTTCCTGACAAGCCTTGCCTGAGCTGCCACTGTCCCCCCAGCCTCCCTGTCTGAGGCGAGCTTGAGGCTTTGCCGGCCCAGAATAAGCCAGAGCAGCACCGGCGCTGCCTCTGGGCCTCTGCGCTGGAAAACCTACCCTCGCGTGGCCCCAGGGCGCACCGGGTCCTCCCTGGTGACACGGACCCCGGAGGCACTGGTGCATCCCCATGGGGCCAGGGCCCAGCGAGGCGTCGAGGAGGAAATGCATCCAAGCCTCCAGCTCCTGCAGACACGCTGGCTCTCCCAGGCTGGGCCAAACCCGGACTGGACCGTGTCTCCGGGGCTGCAGCGCTTGCAGATGGCGCTGGCACCCGGGCAGGCCAGGCACCCACGCCGGGGAAGGCTTGTGGCTAACACAGGGCCACGCCGAGCTCGCCAGCAGACCTCGGAGCAAAACCAGAACAAGTCCCTGCAAGGCTCAGTGCACATCCAGCAGGAGGTGACTTCTTGGCACGCGCAGGCATCCAGGGCCGAGGTCATTCGCCATGACCACTCCCATTAGCACTGGGTATTCTGGACTTTAAGGCCAGATATCGGAGAATCAGCAGCCGGAGCCTGCTGCAGGGCCTCCTCCTGAGCATGTCTCACCCACGGCAGGCGCAGGTGCGGTACTGGGGTGCATCAGGACAGCGCCCCAGCAGCTCCTGGGGCCTGATGAACCCGCGCACAGAGCCTGTGGTTCCTCAGCCGGGGCGTCTGCCTGGGCGAGGGGAGGAACCTGCTCGGTCCCTGGAAGCTCAGAGACTGCCGTGCTTCTGAAGGGGCGGGCGGGGGCAGGAGGGGTCTCCCCCACTCTGGCACCCACACTTGCTGCAGGGACTGTGTTTTCCCTCCTCCCTTCTTATCAGGTACAATTAGCCTGACATCATCGATGAAGGCGGGCAGTGTGCTGCTAGGCAGTGACCGTGTGGACTGACTATGGCTGCTTCTAGGGGCTTTGCCAAGTAGTGAAAAGAAAAGGGTATTTTCCTTGTCAAAGGCTGGGCTAAAAAAAGCAGCTTTAAAATGACAACAAACAGACGTTCCAGCAGCCCTGTGGGGTATAAGACTGCGGTTCCCTGCTTTTGCTTTCTGCTCCTGACCAGCTGGACCCTGATGTTTCCCGAAGGCAGCATTTGACTGTTTGGCCTCCTGCTTTTCCCAGCTCAGGGCCCTTTGCTCAGGGGGAAAAAAGGGCGGGACTGAAGTTAAGGCCGACACTTTGGTTTTTCAATGTGTTAGAAACGTAGTCATCAGCTTCTATTTTATCATCCATCACACGTGTTCCCCAAGAGCACATTTGGAATCCTAAAATGTCATAATAGAGATCTTTTGTTATTCACTTTAGATCTCTGAATATGGTCAATTCCATTCACTTATTTCTTAATTGGAAAAAAATCTTGCCTTCTTGGATTCACCCCAAGTCGCTGGATCCAGTAAGCAGATACTTAGCATTTTGTTTACTATTTTTAAAGGAATTAGTCTGGAAATATCTTCTTGAACCAATTTTTTTCTTTTGAATTATTTCTCTCCGAGTAAGCGAACAGCTTCCGTGTATAATCTGGAAAGACGCTGCAGTAACATTAGCAAACAGCACAGCGTGTGAGTAAGGGACAGCGTTCTTTTTTTTTTTTTTTTAATTTTTTTACATCGTTGTTCATTTTTGTACAACAGTTGATCTCTCCCTTCAGGAGGAATCCCCATAAATCTCCCACCACCGCCTGCAGCACCCCTGTGCGCTCACCACAGTCCCTTATGCTCTTCCCGCCCCTGTTTTGACCCCCCCCCCACCCTTGCTGGGTGCCCTAGAGCTGTGGTTTGCTGCAAATTTTGTCTTTTATTTTCCTCCAACCCTTTGTTCAGTTTCCCTATATCCCTCCTATAACTGAAGCCATCGATATTTTTCTTTTTCCTCCTGACTTACCTCACGGCATAATTAGGGATATAATTCTTTCAGTGCCTTAGGTTAACACACCTAATTTTTCATAAGAAAAATGCGAGCTATTTCTCCAAATCACATCATTCCCATAGAATTTGACCTAAAGCTCTCAACAAAAAGAGCACAGCCAGGGCTGGCTGCACGATTGTCATCTCCACGAAGAAATACAAAAGCAGGGCCCCTTGTTTCTAAATCATTAGAAAATTTGAGATGCCAGCAGAGAGTGTTCATCCACCACGCAAGGCCCCTTCAGCATGGTGACCCCGTTATACCTCCCTTTCCTAGAACCCCAGAATGTAGAGCCAGAGGGGGCTTTGAATTTCTTTCTTGCTTTCACAGGAGCTTGATGTAAGGAAGCTACCTTCAGTCTTACTTTCCAAAAGCCTGCTTTGTTACCCCAGCAGGGAGACGGTAGTCAGGATAGCTGAAGCAGTTGGAAGCTCATAGACCCAAATTTCTAAGCTTTACACCCCATTTTAAATTAGGTTTTCTCAAACAGACCCTTTGCTCTGGCACGCAGTGCCGGCTGACGCTCCTGCAGCAGGGACGGCTGCTCAAGGTGCCCTCTCCTTGCTGCCCGGTTAACTCAGAAGAGGCAACATTCTCTCTCTCCCTGGAGTGTTTCTACATTCTTCACTAAGGTGCTTTACTGCAGGGACTTCAGTGTGGGTAGAAGCGATCTCTGTAAAAATGGCTACATCGCTGTTCTTGAGAAATACGGAGCAGGAGGACTCCAGTTCTGTCTGCTCTGAGTATTGCAGGCGCGTCAACAGCTCACACCAGTAAATGTACAAAGGCAGGTGTTTTTAAGGGCGACTTTCTCCCAGCTTGTAACTCATGAGCTCCACAGTGGAAGCCACTCTAAAAATGGCAAAATGAGGCTGTTTGTTTTCAGGAAAAATAGTTGGTTCAAACAGGCGTTTTACCAGCATTATGATGGTTTATGACCACGAAGCAAGATTTCTGTTAACTTAGGTTGGTTTTCCACTAATTCTGTCAAACTGGGCTACCAACACCCACCTTCCATCATCCAGGGCTGCAAGTCAAGGTTTGTGTCACTGAGGAACATTTGCTTTGGACACTTTTATTTAAAAATTCTAAGCCCTCTGAACTAGCTACATCTCGTTTTTATTTTAAGTGGTGTTAGGACATTTTGTCCTTGAGGAGTTATTGTCATTTGGCTCTAAAATCATTTAAAACCACTAAACATATAAAATTGTCCATGAGAGATAACTAGTAATCATTCTTCTATTGAGAAAGGCAGAGAAATTGTGGAATAAATCTGCTACAGCCTCTCTCCCAACACCGTCTCGGAGACCAGCGTTCTCAAGCACTCCCTGGGTCTTCTTTCAATCTGCAATAGAAATTATCTCTTATCTCACAAATTTGTATCACATTGGTTTTTGAGATAAGATTTAAAATTACGTTGTCTAAATGTTCTTTTTTTTTTTCATTTTGCACGTATAAGGATCATCAAATTCTTTATCCAGGGTGGCAGAATTCAGTTGGACCTAAACATGGAAGCTAATATATTCCCTCTTTCAAACTGAGATGCTATTTTGGGCTTAGGTTTGTATGACATTGTACAATCCCATTGTTCCTAGTTACCGTCTCCCTCAGACTCTACAAGGGGGCAGGAGAACTGTCTCCCACTCTGGGTTCTCCCAGGCGAGGCACGTCATCACACAGCATGAGATGGCTTAGCAAGGAAAACATAATAACTCTAATAACACATGCGTGGAGAATTTAGAAGGTGGTAAATTCTTAAGAAAAATCAAGTTGGCCGGGCTGTTTTGTCTTGTGTTTTAGGGGTGTTAGAAAGCCAAAGAAGAGACTTCACGTGACAGGTAAGAAAGGCTGATCATCCTCACTCCTGAGAATAAAGGTGAGGTCTCAGCGAGGGTATGCTCACTGACACACTCCACCTGAGACACCCCAAACTACATCACATTAGGTCATAAAAGGGGAGCAATGATGGTGTCTCCTATATAAGGCAAAGGGCAGGAGCTTAGGACTTACATCCATCACCTTGGATAGGGGGCACTCAGGCAAGGACCCTCTCTGCCTGCATGCAGAAGAGTCTGCATTCTTTCCATGGTGGTGACAGATCTCTGGGTTCACGGGTCTCCACTGACCCTAGTTCCTAGTTCTCAGGTCAAGGTGAGAAGAGGAAGACCTTGGCCATGACAAGAGCTTGTCTGGTGGGCTTGGGAACACTGGCTGTGTAAGACCAACGAAGTCTTTTTACAGTGAGGGGGATTGTAATCCCCAAGGGAAAGTGAATGTCTCAAGGGCATGCAGTTAGTCCTGGGAATTGTAATCCCCAAGGGAAAGTGAATGTCTCAAGGGCATGCAGTTAGTCCTGGGAAAAGTCTCTGCAACTTTCAGGGACTCTTGCATTATAGCTATCTTTTCTACAATGATTATTTACTGCTCAGAAAAGGGAAAAAGAAATACAAGGAGTTTCTTTTAAGACATATGTCTATAGTACATCAATTCATTTTGGATAGCAACTTGTGATTTTTCTCTCTGTGCTTTGCACCTTCTCCTCCTCAGACGCAGCCAGGACACATCGCTTCCCCTGTTGCAGGTTTATTACACAATGTACTTAGCGGCAGTGACCCATCCAAAAATGAAATTGAGAGCAAAGTTCCATTCACAATAGCATTAAAAAAATAATGCTCATGAACGAGTTAAGTAAAGGTAAGCGGGGACTTATAACCAGGAATTATAAAACTTTGATGAGAGAAATGAGAGAAACCATAAATGAAGATATAGTCCATGTTCATGGATAGTTCAATATTACTAAGAGGGTGAATCTTCCCAAATTGATTTGCAGCTTCAATTTAATCACTGTCAACATTCTACCACTTCTTCTTTCAGAAATTAATAATTGAATTCAAAAATTCATATGGAGATTCAAAACAATTTAGAGAAAGATAAAATGGAAGGACTTTCACTTACCAATTTTAAAACTTAGTATAAAGCTCCAGTTATCAAGACAGTAAAGATAGACATATGGACAAATGGAACAGAATGAGAACCCAGAGAAAATATTTATAGTCAATTTATTTTTGACAAAGGTGCCAAGAATATTCATTGGGGAAAGGACAGTCTGTTTAAAAATGGTGCCAGGACAATTGGATATCCATATGCAAAGAGATGAACTTGGACTTATCCCTCACACCACCCACAAAATTAACTCAAAATGGATCTTCGACCAAAGTAAAATAACTAAGAGGATAAAACTTACAAAAGAAAATAGAGGAGAAAATCATTGAGGCTTTGGGTTAATCAAATACTTCATATATATGACACTAAAAACACAGTCCATCAAAGAAAAAAAATGATAAATTGGACCTCACCAAAAGTCAAAATTTTCATCTCAAAAATCACCATTAGCACACAAAGCCCGGAACACTGACACCACCACATGCTGGAGCCTAAGTGGAGCAAGAGGAATCCCATTCATCACTGGCAGGGCGCAAAACGGTGCCATCTAAGAAGACGGTTTGGTGGGGCGAGGACATCCGAGAACTGACATGGAGATGGACACACTCCTCGCCAAAGTCAGTAAGAGTCAGGGATCAGACAATTCAAACGAGTGAATTTCATGATATGTAAAATGTACCTTAATAAAGATGGCAAGGAAAGTAATATCTGCATGGCAGGCTAATTTGAATATTGATTGTACCCCCTGTCTTGGCAAACAAACAGATGCCAATAGGCTTAGCAGGTGACAGATTACAGTGTGACCAGATTTTCAGGAGCAAACGGTGGGAGGCCAGAGCCGCGTGTCAGTCAGCATGGAGCTCACATACTGCAATGCAACTGGGTTATAAAATTTTACATCTTTAAAAAATGTATTTTAAAAAACTAGGGACATTATTTCTTTATTTTTTTTAAAGATTTATTTATTTATGCCTACAAGAGCTGGGGTACAGGCCAGAGGTGTGTGTGGGGGGGTGAGAGGATTCCCCAGAGACAGAGTGGGGAGCAGAACAGGCAGATCTACTGAGACACACTGCTGAGGGGAGCAGTGGGGAGACAGGAGAGGTCTGCTGCGCCATGTGGGTAGCTCCCTGGCCGGCTGGGGATCGAACTCATGCTGCAGAAGCTGTGGATTGCTTCATAGGGGGGTGCTTAACCCCTTACGCCACCAGGGAGGCCCTGGACATTATTTCTTGATTCAGCCATGCTAATACCAGAGTGTGAGTCAATGAGAAATAACATGAAAATTAGGTGGCTCCAGGTCAGCTATGAGTTATGCTTAATATATTATCACTATTTACTAAACAGCTCTAAAAACGATGTCATTTTCGCCTTCTTTTTCTTTTAACTATTGGGATTCTGAATGTGCTGATCCTTACGGACTGATGACTCAGGTCATGGCTTCCAACGCTATGAGACATCAGAGCACAGCACAGACCCAACCCTGCACCAAGAATAAAAGCCACCAGCCCGGTCCTGAAGTTCAGTTAGATCTACTTTCTGCCTGGGAAGAAGCTGACAACTTCTTAACAATAAATAAATGACGAACATATTTTCTCACTTTCAAGTAAGGACGATAAAGGGAGAGCAGCCGGCGGGGCAGGAGACGGGATGCCGGGAGGGATTTCAGCTCCGTGTTGCCCAAACAGACTGCACGGAGGACAGAGCGCTGGGGGCGGCCTCGAGTCACACAGGCTCGCCCGAAGGCCCATGTGCTGAGGAACGTCCTGGCCAGGGGCCCACATATTTCTCTTGCGTGGGCCCAGCAAATTAGGCAGCCAGGTCGGGGGACAAAAACAGGTGTCTGCAGGGAGGCGGCCCGTCACCCCATCGGTGGTGCTTCTCCGTCCTTGTGTGGGTGTCGCTGCGCTGAGGTTAGAGAAACCGACATGCACAGTCCTCCTGCCCGGGCTGGGAGAGCTGGGGGCCTCCCGCGCCTTCTGCCTGGGGTCAGGGATCTGCTCGCTGTACCACTTGGTTGTGGGTACTACAGCTTGGGAGCCAGCTGCTGTGAAAAGACTTTGAAGAGGCCAGAGGGTGGGTACCTGCCCAGCAGAGGTCGGTTTGGTCAGAGAGCTTAAGGGATAGACATGCCAGCATCTCCCTGCCCAGCTACAGAATGAACAGCTGTGCCCAGGAAGAACAGCTGTCTGCAGGGGAACATCTGTCTGCAGGGAGAAGAGCTGTCTGCAGGGAGAAGAGCTGTCTGCAGGGGAACAGCTGTCTGCAGTGGAACAGCTGTCTGGGGGGGGAACAGCTGTTTGCAGGGGGAGCTGCTGTCTGCAGGGAGAAGAGGTGCCCAGAGAGCTTCTTGCTGGAGGCGGCCCCTGTTCTGTGATATTTGGGGTAGAGAAGTCAGAGGAGGAGAGGTGCCAGACAGGAGAAATGCACTAGTTTTGAATGTAAAACCCATCCACGCGCTGCTGCACACACTGTGAAAGCTGGCGTCGCTGGCACGGGCTGGCTGCCCCTGACGGCGCGAGGCCTCGCTGAGCTTCTGAACCCGTTCCAGAGACGCATCTTCTAGCAGCAGAGACGTGCGTCTCTGTTCGTAGGAAACAGCACATTCCCTCTTTGACCATCTTTCCTCATCCTGCAAACCCTTTCCCGCCACTCTCTCACCCTTTCTGAAGGAAACTCCCACTGCGAGACCCATCGTCCTTCTTCTCTCACAGGAAGCACAGCTGCCCTCCCTGCAGACCGCTGCTCCTGCTCTCACACACACACACAGGTGCACACACATATGCACACAATGCACAGACATATATGCACATAGATGCACACGAGCACACACAGGTGCATGCACATACATGTACACACATGCAGATACACAGGCTCACACATGCACACAGACACAGGTGCACACACACACACCCCTGATCAACAGGAAACTCTCAGCCACGCCCTCTGTGGGGAGGGAGCGACTGCTCAGGATGTCTCCAGCAGGCAGTGGGCAGTGGGCAGGGTGCTGAGGTGGGGTGCAGGACACCAGGGAGCTGGGTTCAGGGAACGCGGGTGCCCTGTACTTGCTTTATTTACGGGAGCCAAGGAGACGGAGCCCCGAGCCTGCCATCCCTCCCCATGACCTGCAGAGGTCTGCGATTGAGCAACAAGCACTGAATGGACAACAAGGTACCTCCTGTCACTTCCAACCCTCTGTTGTTCCACAGCTGAAAGCTGGAGATGAAGCCGGAGCCGGGGCTGGACCCAGGCCACGGGGTTGGAGCCAAGGCCATGATGCACAGCAGGGGCGTCCCGGCCTCAGGAGCCCTTGCGCAGGCTCCTGCTGTCCAGCCACCTCGTGGGGCCTCGCCGGCCACCTGGTTTCTGTGCTTTCAGGGCCAGCGCCGCCCGGCTCGCTGCAAGCCCAGCAGCGTCCCTTCTCCAAGCGCAGCCCGGGGAAGACCCAGCACAGGCGCAAGAAAACGCACCCCCAAGACCCTGGGGACCAGGGCCTGCGATCTGGCCCCTCCAGGAGCCCAAACCTTCCCCTCGTGTTGGTTGTGACTTTCTTTTGCACACAGGGAGCCGACGCCCTTGGAGTCTGTGGGGAAGAGCCTGCCCGTCTCTGCCAGATTCCGGGTTCCAGATTCCTCTGCGTGCGGAGACGCCGCCCCAGCCTCCTCTCAGGTGCACGTGTCTTCTCCAGGCGCCGCAGGTGAGGACGCCCATTGGTGGGTACGGCCCACCTGCCCCAGGTGTCCTCAGCTTCGTCTAATTAATCACAACCGCAGAATTTGATTTTCAAATAAGGTCATATTCTGAGGTAGTAGAGGCTGGTACTTCAAAACATGGGGGGCGGGGAGCACATGCAACTTTACCCGTAAGAGATGTCATGTATTCCTCAGTGATTTTATTTATTTATATTAATCTAGACATCATGTTTCTAAAACTTCCCATGAGCAACAAGGAGAATGCCTTAAATTCCAAATGGAAAACTTTAAAATATTGATTAAAACCTCTAACGTGATCGTATAAGCTAGTCATGAAAGCCATCTTGCTTGCTTTTGTGCCTAAACACTGAATCATCACTGGACTTTCCTCAGATGCAGTAAACCCAGCATTGCTGTTTACAAGTCAGAATAAATTAGTGCACATTTCCATGATTATATTTTGTTTGCAATTTGTCTCGGTTATTCCCTTATAAAACAGGTTTGCTGATGTCACCAGGTTCAGTGTGAGTGGCGTTCACACACAGAGAAAATCATGAAATAATTCATAGGACGTTAATGAAATAAAGGCAAATGATTGAATAGTTTAAAATCTAATCATGAGGGCCTCCCTGGTGGCGCAAGGGGTTAAGAGGCAACTTATGAAGCTGTCCGCAGTCACTGCAGCATGAGTTCGATCCCCGGCCAGGGAGCTACCCACATGGCACAGCAGACCTCTCCTGTCTCCCCGCTGCTCCCCTCAGCAGTGTATTTTGGTCAATCTACTTGTTCTGCTCCCCACTCTGTCTCTGGCGAATCCTCTCACCCCCACCCCTACAACTCTGGCCTGTACCCCAGCTCTTGTATGCATAAATAAAAAAATCTTTAAAAAAATCTAATCATGAGCAGCAGTCCGGCTGTTTAGATTTAGCATTGCTTTGCCTTTATTATCTAAGGAATTCCTTCAGTTTTCTCCTTTATATTTTGCATATAATAAAGCACATTTTTCTCCAACAAAATTCTAGTGGACAACATGCCTCTTCTAGCATTGCTGCCTTCATTTTTGCAAGACTTAAACATAAGAAATGCTAAATTTCAAAGAGCAAGCCATCAGCAAAATAGCTGCATCACATTAGCTGGAGTGGTTCTGTGATTAATAGCTGTGCTGGCAATCACCGCAGGCTCGGTGCTCAGATGAAAATCAGCAGAAGGGACTGAGGATAATGTGCCATTCACTCTGGGACTGAGACAAAAATGAAAACTGTGGTAGTCCCCCTGCCCCGGGGGTAAAACCTTGCCAGTTCTGCTAGTGTCACACAGGGAAGGTAGGAGTTGAAATTTAAGGCTGAAGAAGTCGACTCCAACTTCCAGGAACTCTGCTGAGAGGCCTGGGTGCCTCCTCTCACAGCACCTCATTAGCAAACAGAGTAGAAAGTATAAACCAAGACCCACAGTCAAGCGTGAATAAAGGGATTGCCACTCTTCACGAATGTTACTCCAACTTCATGGGTAAAATTGGCTCCCAGGATGTTTTCATTATTAGCGTGTTGGTGTGTGTTTGGCTTCTTCCAAGTTGCATTGAAGAGGCTTGTGCTATCATTGCCCTCATTCTGTAATTACAGTGACGACGACGAGGCTGACTACCCCCTGGTGGGGTCCAGGGTAGGAAGTTAAGCCCAGCACCCAAAAATTTCATCACTTCTTTTTCAAAGACCAGCAAGCCCTATTCCAAAATGCTCTCATGTTTCATTCCATATGAATCTGCCATCACGGTCGCGGGGCTGGGTGGAGCGTGATCACCCACCCACCCAGAGACAACTCCAGCCAGGCAACTCTCTACTGTGACCCCAGGAAATGTGTGCCCAAAAGGCGTTTGGCTTGATGGAGATGGGCTGATATAACCCAGGCTCACCCCAAAGGCACAGTTTCAATGTGGAGGAGTGGACACGCGTGGGGGTGACCAGAGTCCAGAGCCATGGAAGCAGCCAGTGCCAAGGTAGGAGTCAG